GGGGTCCAGCCCCTCGAAAATATCAAAAGGTCAACGATATCCGCTTCACTATAACTTCAAAATTTTGTCTCAAAGAAAACAGAATAAATTTTATAGCGGAAAGATGCCCGTATATCGTTGAACTTTTACGATCTTTGTAGTAGTACATATATGTTCTAATTTTAAACCTGTCACGTGACAAACAGCTGATGTAAGCGATGTCGCTTTGGCCGAACTCAGCAGAGACCCGATATATATACAAGTGCAAACACCACAATTCACATTCATCAAAACTAATTCTGTTATAAAAATATTAAAATTGTATTCATTTTCCCTGGATATATTACGGCGTATATTTCATGGGCGTCCTTAACCTAGCTGCGAGGGGTTCTGGAAAAGTGTTTGTGTAAGGGGGGGGGGGGGAGGGACTAATTATTATATAGTGAAAATGGATCAATTCATTATAAATTCCTTTTATCTGTTCTTTAGCATTAAACAAAGTTAGTGCATAGTTATAATGAGCAAGGGTACCTGTTCCAAAATTGTGAATTTCATGGCCATAGCTTCATGTGTTCTGTTGTTTGGGTGGGTCTTCTGATTACAAAGTGAATATATATATTAATTATTTAAACCCTTGTCTGCTTCTGGGTATAGTTATGACGAGTATGGCACGGATGGGGCCAATTACATTGGAAAGTAATTAATTAAGTTACAATGACCTGCCAAAAACTTTCGGTTAAATTACCATTGTAATTACAGTGATTTTGAAATGTAATTTAATTAATTGCAATTTCTTTGCAAATGTAATTAATTAAATTAGATTACATTTTAAGAAACACGTTAATAAATATTCATGCATGAACAATTCTTTATGTTTACATTGTATATCGGATCCATTTACAACATTTTTCTTTTACCTTAACTTATTTTTGAAAATGTGCATGAAATTTTCAAATACTGTGTCATTGTAACAATTCTAAATGAAAGGCCAATATCGGCTTTCCTACTTTTGGTGTAGAATGTTCGAACTGTCCGACTTTATTGCATTTAAAAAAGTTGGAATTTCCAGCCTCATCCAGATTTCTTTTTTTTTGGGTGGGGGGTGGGGGTATATTGTTGGTTATTGTTCTTTTTAACGGTAAAACGATCTGTTTCAAAGAAAACTGTACAGTATAGCAGATCAAATCCAATCAATGAAAGCCGTTTTTTAAGGAGAAAAAGCTAATTTGAAAATCTTCCAACCGAGTTTGAACAAGTGGAACTTGGGTGGCTAAAATTTTAATATTTATAATTTAATTTCCTATCATGAAGTGTAAAATGATATGATTTAGCCTCAAAAATGCCTTTAACCTGTACAAGTGTTGTCATGAATTTACAGGGTGGTACAGTGCAGGGAACTAATTTTGTTACATAAACCAGCATCAGCATAAGCATTAGTAGCATCAGGATCGAGCTAGCATCAGCATCAGCATTTAAAAAACAGCATTACCAGGATCAGTATCAGCAAGCAAAGGATAGAACTAGCATAGCTAGCATTGACCTAGATTTAAAAACCAGCATTGACCTACTTAAAATCAGGATCATGCTGGTTTACTAATAATACAGATTCGTTTTTCACAAAACGAAACAGCATGTAGATATTCTTATTTCAGTCGGGAACAAATACATATAGTGTATTTCTTGCGGTTAAATTATTCAATACAATCTTAAGATAAATATTAAATTAATTTAATAGCAATAATCCCGCGATATTTTTCAATCTGAATCAGCTGATCACCAAACGTCCTATGGAGTCCACTGTTGAGGCCTCGCCACGGCTTGATGTTATTGAAATTGGTGATAAAAGGGTAAGTAGTAACACTTGGTCAACAAAAATAAGTTTAACAATACAATAAAAGTATGATGTTTGGTGTATAACTATTTACTTTAATTTTTATTGGGTTTTAAGTGTATACACGTACTAAGTAATTCACAATCCGAATTTCCTCAAAATTGACGGAAGCCAGAAATAAAAGTCGCAGTGCCTTTGATAAGATAATCATAGAGGTGTATTGAACAAAACCTAGTAATTAAACCAAATAATTGATTCTGTATTATTCACAGCATTAAACGAATCTTGTTTAAATATTTTTAATGCGGAGGTTCTTAAATTTTATAAAAACATGTGCAGATAAATTTGTGTATGTACATGTTGTAGATCTACCAGAAAAAATTTCAATTTCAAGTAGCTAAAAAATAATTATCATTATAACACAAAATAATATATTGGAGAGGAACTATGCATGAAAATACATTAATTTTAAAACTTTTACACTACATATTCTTTTTCACATTATTCATCATAGTGGTACATTGTGTAAACTAGTTTGTATAATTGTCCTGGTATGTAGAATTTTATTTTAAGTACTTGAATCCATTAATACCCTTGCAAATAAGATCTCAATTCAATTATAATAAATACACCAGATTTTATCAACAGAATTAATTAAGTATATAAATCATTATAGTGTTTTTTTCCCAAATTAAGTTGTGCAAGATTTGTAAAAAAGATAAGATGATCAATTAATAAATCTTAGCTTCTTTGTATAATGTACTTTTATCTTTATTATAGCTCTTAGTGGAAGAACATGAGAGTACTTGATAGAAATGGAGTGCTATGAACAGTCTACAGTTTGTTGTTTCAACACCCCACATGAGAATTTTTCATTCATAATGGAGACACCAACACTTGTCGGTGAAGGGCTGCAATTTTAGACCTGTACTCGGCACATGGGCCTTTAATTATAAGCAGTGAGAGATCTTTTTCGTGCCAGCACCTTCTGCAACACTGGAACTCGGTTTATATGGTCTCATCCAAAGGACTGGGGCAATCTACAGTGAAGTCTGAGAATGATGATTCAAAGAAAATTCTGTTTGGAAAATGATATTTTTTAAAAAGAGAAATGTTCTTGATTCCTAAAAGTAGAAGGCATGGACAGTATAATGAAATGGTGAAAACTTACAAAAAAAACCCCAGTTTTTCAAGAAAGTGAACTTGTTGAAAAAAAACTTTGCTGGTGGTCAAGAAAAAAGCTTCACTTTTTCATGCAAACACCATTCTATTTATTTGACTTTGTGGACATAAATTTATCAAACAAGTGAAAAAGCAGTGCATGAATATAGGACATGGATTGTAAAACTATTAATTTGATTATTCCATCATTACACCATTTCATAAAATTCTGAAAGTTGTTATGGGACATTTTGTGATTCCATTTATTATCAATTATAATTTGGTCAAGTTGGCACTGACTATAAATAAATTGCAATTTTTAGACACTGGGAATATTGTTTTTATTGCTTCCATGAACTTAAAATTTTACATGTATACTGTGTTGTTCTACAATAAACATAAAATAACCTTTATTTTGCCCCCTACTTCAAATATATTGTGCCTTACAGCACAACTTGCTTTTAAGGAGTGGTAAAAGAAAAATTTGGAAAAGATGATATAAGAGTTTGTTATATTTTCAGAAACTGAACATTTTGCCAAGGCGGTACACATCTAGAAAAGAAAAACTGATAGAAAATATTACTGTAAATTTCATATATTAAGGTTTTAATTTTAAAATTGTGAAATTTGTGTTGTACTGAAGGAACAGTTTTAATGTTATATCATCAAGGTCAAAAGATATCTGGCTAGCACAAACTCTAAATCTATGGTACACCATAGTATAATAAGTGAATGATTTAAACCATTGGCTTAAACAATGAGGAAAATGTATCTCTACAAATGTACCATGATGTAAGGCCAAAATAAAATTATTGTTCGTTTGGAATTGCCTCTCGCCTCATTGAAATGACCCTCCTGGAAAATTTTTATTGACCAAAAATAAGATTTTTTTTATTCAATCAATTCTTGGCCTGTTATCACATGTGCCATCCAATCACTTAATGTAAGTGTTGGATCTAAGCAAAACTGGGTTCCTGGTTGATGGGAGATACCCTTCACAAAAAGGCAGAAAATAATGTGTTCACTGCTTATTGAGATTTTTATCATAAATTTTTTATTTAACTTTAATGTTAAAAAAAAAAAATTTCCCTCCCTCCTGGGTCTGAAACCTCCCAGGCGGCAATTCAAAACAAACAATTTTTTAAGGATGGCCTTTAAGAGAAGAAATATCTATACAGTAAAACATGGTTATAACGAACACGCTATAATGAATTCATGGTGATGGCGAAATGATTTTCATTCCCTGTGGTTTTCAAACCCATTGGAAAGTAAACATATAACAAATTAAAACTGTTTATCCCAGGCATTTAGCTGTAAGCTTATTTTTCTGTATTTGAATGATTTACTTCATTCTAAAATACCCTACATGATAATGTGTTATCCCCCATATTCAGTCTCTTAATGCAGATTATGGAATTTTTCATTAAACATTTTAAATGAAATCCAAATAAAGAATTGTTATTATTTCAAGTTTAAATATTCAGATGTCAATGAATGGGGACATACCGGTATTACTATTTTTGTCTATACAACTCGGTAACCTTGGCTTTACTCAGTATTTAACCATTACATATATAATATTCCACTCAGTTACCTAGTACACAATATTCTTAGCTCAAATGCTGTATATATACTCTGTATAGTGTAAGCAAGTATATCCAACAAAAAATTTAGTGAAAAGTAGGAACATCAGTGAATATTTAACCAGTTATGAATTAGTGTTTCATTTTTTAAGTTGGGGTGTAAGTGATCAAAAATTCAATTTTTTTTTTAGAGTATTCATGAAATAGAGGATTGCATATGCTTCAATAAGAACACTACATGTAACAGAAATATTGCCTGTCTACATAATCTCAGAGGCAGATCTAGAATGTTGGTGTTAACAAAAAAATATCAGGGGTATTATTTTTTATGTTTTGTTTTGTTTTGTTTTTTTTTTTGAAAAAATGTGTACTACAAACACAACTTGGACATAAAATTTTATATATACATGTATCTCTCTATTAGTACCTAAAACATCACACTACTGTAAAATATATGTGTTCATTTATTTGACAAAATCAATTATGTGGACAATCATATGAACAGTTTTAAGACTGTACAAAAGAGCAGGCATGCATTTCAATTTTCATACATCTCAATGTAATCATGTACAATACATAAAGCACTTGAAGTCCACTTTAAACTCTGTACATTACTTTTTAGATCTACATGGGAGATAACTTAAAAATGTACAAGTATGTGATCAATGAATTTGGCACACTTCATCACACAGGTTTTAACACCACTGTCTGATTTACAGAAGTTGATTATTAGTTCTTGGCTTCTCACTATTTTTTCAGATAGAATTTCATCAGCTGGATTTAGGTCCAAAGAGGAGGCCAGCATATCCAAATCATTCTTCAAAATATTCTTTTTTTTTGCCATCAATCCCTGGTGGACTTACTGCAGTGTTTACTATCATTGGCCTGAAAAATATGAGATATTAGGTCATGATTTAATTTAAAAATGTTATCAATGTAAATTAAGTTGATTAGTTTAATTTCTCTTCTTGCATGGATATTAACAAACAATCTTCCAAAGAGAATCTGAATATAAGTTTTGGTTGGAGATTTTTAAATTTCATATGATTAAGAAACTCATCCTTGAATTATTTTTACTTTCAAACAGACTGCTTAAATAATAAAAGTAAAAAGATTATAAATTCAAATATAAAAAATGCCAAATGTTAAAAATACAATGTATATACAGTTCTAACTACAGTTTTGTTAACTTTATACAATTACGTCTACATCGCACGTACAAATATACAGAATACAGACTTGAAGAGCAAATTGTATTAAGACAAGTTTTAAAGCAAGTATTTTTTTTTCAGGTAAAAGAAAATAAATTGGCACTACTTAAACTTGAAAAGTACTTGCGTCAATGAAATAGGGGCACAATTAGTAACTTAGAACGGTGAAGTGATTTAGAACATGATTTTGCTTTTTAATGTCAAATTAATGATCACAGTTTCAAGCATTAATTTAATTTCTTTTTTCTTTAACTCCAGTAAAATTTAAAAGGAGCCATTAGGGCTGAAAAGATTAATCGATAATATTAATTCTGTGTGAGGATGGTACGTATATCAATATGTATGTAAAAATATTTAAATATTGCAAAAAAATTCAGGCGTTTTTCTTTGTTTACTTACATTTTGGGTTTAATATATGTATGATAAACATGACGTGAAGGACATACGCAACGTAGTTTGAACATTATTGTCTTTTTCCCTGGAGTTGAAGAGTTCCAATATTTAAAGGAACTGTGTGCTACAATTTAATGTCTATATATGCTATTGTACACTTCTTCTAAAACAAGTTTTGATAAACAAAACATCTAGAATATATGCTTAGTAATTTTTGTATATTTCTCTATGAATTATACAGGAATTTTCATCAATTGATATCTTTTCAAAACCTCTGGAAATGCATGCTGATTTTTTGTCTACGAACTTCTGATGGCACTATAATCTTAAATTAAGAATATCTTGAAAAATTATCAGTAGGTAAAGTACATTGCGTATGTCCTTAAATAGAAATATTTATTTAAAATACATACCGGTAAAAATTTACACCACTTGCGTGAAGTAAGTTTGTTTTACAACGGATATACAGCTTATGTCTTTAAATAAATCATTCATAATTGGGATGAAATGTTTTGTTCTTTTCAATACAAAAATAAGATTTCATGACCAATTCAAAATATTTGATACATATCGTATCATAGCTCAAATATCATGATTGATACATATCAATGTACGTATCAATATAAAAAAAATTGTATCATCCCAGCCTTCGAACCCTTCCCATCCCAAAACAGTTTTATTTGACTTGGGACAACTTTCTTTTTTCCTTACTTTTTCTTGTAGCATTTTATTCAGGTACTTAATTGTAAGTTACTTTTCTGCCTTTTGAAAAATGTTGTTATAATGTATCTGTTTAAAACCTTACGTACAATCTACTCGTAAACCAGGCACAGGTCAGTTACATGATAAGGTACAACCTAACTTCTCCCCTCAAAACTAAGACCGCAAGGGTAAATTGAATTCCGTAACCATACTTTTGTTTAACAGTTGACTTCTAGATTTGGTAGACTGGCCTTACCTGTCTGATATGCGCAATATACATGAACGTACGAAAGAGACAGGCAATACCAGTCTATAGATTTGGTTAGAGTTGACATACTAGGTTTGAGTGGACTTGGTTATCAGTCGGTCAGGTTATGTACTGACTTGATACCATGTGAATTAACTACAGAAGACTGCATCTGAATCTCTAAAAAATCATACATATAATTCTTTCTCAATTGTAAAAATTGACCTTTAAAATCACATGGGTTTAAATGCCTGAATCGCTGAGAATTTTGAGTGTTTATTTATTTGTAAATCTGTTTCACATCATCCTTATATAATCTGATAATTTGATAATTAAAAAAAAAAAAACATAGTTTACATACCCTCTGAGTCATGGTAGTGTACTGATGATCTGATGGTTCCTTGGAAACGGCTTTTACAACTTAAAGCATAATATTTTTGCTGAAATATTCACAGGAAACATGATAAATTTTCGTCTGGGTTTGTCATAAACTTCATCATGTTCATTGTCCATCACGTTTCCTTGCTCACACGTTGAACACATTGGGGCTCTTCTTCCGAAATCGCTTCGGAAATGGGAAAATCATCGCATCGTTGGGTGCAAGCAATACCTCATAAGAATTATCTGGATTGCAGTGGGCAGCTAGCCTTTGTCAAACAACTCTGTTACGATAACTTCGCAAGATTTACTTCCAACTTTCACTGTGTCGCCATTTTTGTTTTCAATTTTACGATTGGAATTTGACAAAGCGAAATTCGTTAAAAATCGCTAAATTTCTTTCGGTAAAAAATGTAAACAGATAAAAGAAAGTTATTTAATACAATATACAAATAAAAATTACAAAAAAAATATTTTTTATGGCTTAAAATAGCAATGCTGAAATTAAATTATCCACTTCCGCCAGGATAATCCTACTTCCGGTAGCATTACTAGCATTGACCTAGTTTTGAACCAGCAAAAGTAGCATCAGAATAAGGATCAGATCAGGATCAGGATAAGGATAACTAGCATTAAATCAGCAAGCAAAGGAAGCATTCAAATCAGCAAGCAAAGGAAGCATTCAAATCAGCATTGATGCTGTAACAAAATTAGTTCCCTGCACTGTAGTTGTCATGTTGTAAATTGTATATTTACTGCCAACCAATAAATTCAACATTTACAACAAGACAGTGTCCACCAATGGTATGTGTGTTACTAGCAATCCCTCCTCAACTTTCTCCATCTCTTATTGATGGAAATTTCGATAGCAGGGTCGTTAGCAAATAACTATGTAGATTCCCAAAACTTTTATGATTGATATTCACGAACAACTAATCTGACAATTTTGACAACCACCCAATCTCTTACTGGATGCAAAAGGCTGGCACAAAGTGTTTAATATTGATATAGAATTAACAAAATCAAACATTTTCCCTTCTTGGTAACCATAGCAAGAGTGTTGTATTTGTCTACAATCTTCATCGGGGGCACTGTAGTCTACGACACACTCCAGAATTGTGTTACAATCGGGGGCATAAAGTTTCACAAAGTCATCATGTTTTTCTTTATTATTCAAAAATCTTTGATTGGCTCAAATTTGATCACATGATGAAATATAAATGTATATAGACTTTTGTTACTATTTATAGATTCTGAATGCATATCGACTGTATGTTTCTAAAAAGGAAACAAGTTTCTATAAAACAACAAATGTGAAGACTTTACTATAGCTGATATGATTTGATGTTTCTGAAAAAAATATCATTCAGCTCTATAAATTTATAATTGTGATCTTCTGTAATAATCGGTAAGATGTAACATTCCCTTTAATAAGGATCTACTTTATAATAAAACATATGAGATATGTTTTCCATAAATTGTTATAATATAATACAACACATTTAGCCTTTTAAATCAGTACATTCCCTTAATAATTCTATCAGTACAAAGGAAATGCAATTACATTAAGGATACACCGGAGGCTTTGTTCAAGATTTTCAACAATTTTGAGATTTTTGGCTAAGAAAAGAAGTTAATTACTGCTTTATAATGCTTGTAAAATTCTTAGTAATTATGAAATGGTTTTCTAATTATTTAACAATAATGAAACATGAACACTACCACATGTGAATGTCCTGTTAATGAAGCTTCTGATTTGATCTGTGACTGCCTTCTCATCAAAGACGCAATAAATCACTGTGACCACTTGGGGAATTCTTCACTAGCCATACAGAGGTTATCAGTAATTAAACTACAGGGACTCTAGATTTAGAGAAGGAGATCTAACAGATCACTGATGACCATAAAATAGGAGGGGGAGCATAGCTCTTGCCATTTTGCCGGGAAATCTTTCTGATTCTGAATTTAACCTATTTTACTTAATTAAAAGCATCTAAATACAGAGAAGAACCTCCCATTCTTGTGAATATGCATAGGAAATATGGCTAAGTGACAGGTATCCAAAGCTTAATCTCCAAGGTGTCATATATTCCTAGCCTTGGCAGATTTTGTTTTGTAATGGGTTTTTGCTCTCTATAGTAAGATCAAACAATTTGTGGTATTCTTTCAAAGGATTCAGCTCCCCTATTTATTGACCATTTTCTCTGAAAATGGGATGGGTTTTTCCCATACGTGTGTTCACAAAACCGTATCTCAGATTTTTGATATCTAGTTTACTTTTGGAATTATTGAGGGAAATGTTAAATTAGGCGAATAAATTGGTAACATTGAAGTGCAAATGGCTGTAACTTTTGAATTAGAAGATTTATCAAAAATATGAGATACAGTTTTTAGGTTCAATCTTTCTTCTACCTTGATGCAAAATGACCAATCTGAGGGGTTAAATACAGAAAAGTGCTTTATAAAATATTAATGTACTAAAATTTACATAAATATTTAAATAATATTCATATAAGTTCTTAACCAAAGTTTAAATTAGGATAACTAAATAGTAAATTTAACAATCTTTCAAAGGATATATATACTTATATTATGTAATCTTTGATAATGAAAGAATTACATGTAAATTAAATTCAGACATTTGGAAACCTTTGGTGTATCCTTAAACAGCTTAATTTCTTCTGATCTCCAGTCAATGTGTATGCTAAAAAGACAAGAGCAAAAACTTGTGACTTGTTCCAGTTAATTTTAAATTTTGCTTGTGGATCTCTGTAAAAAATAATATAACAACAAATGTAGCCCTTTCATTCGGTCAACTTACAGATATAACAAATGTAGCCCTTTCATTCGGTCAATTTATAGATAAATGGACCTCATAAAAGGTATATATATATATATATATATATATATATATATATATATATATATATATATATATATATATATATATATATATATATATATATATATATATATATATATATATATATATATATATCCAAAATTGAAAAGAAATATCACAGTGTCCGGTAATTAATATGAAAATAGAAAATAACAAGGCAACAATGTTAGTAAAAAATAAGCGCTTTCATTACTTCTTCAGACGTTTTACATTCTAAAACAATTCAAACATGTGACGTTATAACGCTACCTGATGATAACGTCAACAACAATGCAATGACGTCACAATGCTTATAGAGGAAACAATTTTAGAGTCTAAGTAAAATTACGCAATTTATTAATAGCGTAATAAAGTCATAAAACAGACTATATTAAACTATTAAAGGACGGTTTAAAAATCTTGATGAAATGTTTTTCTTTTTCCCGTCTCTCTAAAAGATTTTCTGTTTTGAGTTTATAAAAGGGATAAACTGAGAATTGTCCCAGCCCACAGACAGCAAGATGTTCACTGAGTTTTGTTTTTCTGTACTCGGGTTGGTTGAAATGTTGCTTCCTGGAAAAAAAAAAGGTTTCAAAAATGATTACAAGTCATACGTTATATGTATACATGCATTGATATCCCTAGTGCGAAATTACACATAGCAATTTAAAAAAAAGCCATTAAAACATATTATAGCAAAACATGGACACTGTCATTCTTTCTATAATACTGGGGGTACACATATCTTATCCGCAACTCCTATAATTTCACAGAATTTTCATTACATGGTGCCATTGTGCAGCTCATATTTCATATTTTTGATTATATTCAAATTATATGTTTCTCATAGCAAAACATGGATAATGCCATTCTTTTTATATGAAATCGGGGGTACCCATCTCTTATCTGCGCAACTCCTCTTATACCATTGAATGAAATTTAATGAGAATTTTGAGATTTTTTATTACACATTGGCATTGTACATCTCCTATTTTATTTTTTGAATGGACACACATTTCGGTTTTCCAGTAGAAAAAAATGGACACTGCCATTCTTTCCATAATATTGTTGTATTTGTATAACTATATACAAATATAAAAGAGATAGCTCACCTATGCACACCTATGCAGGTGAACTCAAAGAGCCGCAAAACCTCCCAGGTTATTTATGGTGTGTTAACACTGTCAGGTCTACGATGCAACTGAACTTTTTTGTTTATAGTTGACAACCACTCAGAGTAAGAATATTGGGATCTCGAGCCCGATCATAAAAACATTATACTTCACTACATTCCTCCCCCTCATATTTTTAAGTTTTTACCTATATTGTTATACGTGTATATATTGGTAATTAAAATGGTAAAAATTCTATTGAATTCTCTGAAATGATAAAAAATATTTACATTAATTAAGCATGATGCGAAATGACAACAATCAGAAAATCCGACTGTACATCATCAGCATCAGTGTTCCCTAATCTACATTTAAAACATTCTTAAAAATAAACTGACCAATTTTAATATAAAATCTCTTAATAAATTATTTTTCAGATTTTAAAAGTATATTTTAAATAAGATTTATTAACAGATGAATTATCAGAAACTCCTCCAACAAAAAACATCAGACTCTCCGACGTCAGTGATAGAAAATTCTCCAACAATTCTTGACGATCATAAAAAAAATTGCATTGAATAATTAAAAATTTCTAAAGAAATGAAATTTTCGGGGTGATTGTTAAAATCTCCAGATGTGATAGGTTTGACTGAAAAAAAAAAAAAATAGAGGTTAAAGTTTAAATTTAGTATGGGGTTGTGGCCTTGGTGTATTGATGTGAGCTGAAGAATGGCCTACTTCCTCAGCTCTTGAAAGTTTAAATCTGATTGTGGGGATGATCTGTTTTGAAAAGATACTTTTGATCTAGAGTATGTTTGATGTAAGCAGTTTCTTGCGTAGTGACCCATCTCACCACATTTGAAACATTCCACCGGTCTCTCTCTTTCAGGACTATATGATATTGATTGATTTTCTCTTGTAGGAGATTGCAATGGTGATCTGCATCTTGGTCTTGGTTCCCTCTCTGCCTCAGCCACCTTCAGTCTTTTTAAAATTTCCATAAGCATTCTCTTGAACTCTTTGTTGTCATTTTCTAGAGCTGTCATTCTTGTCTCCAGTGAAGGTACAGTTTTAGGTGTTGTTCTGTTGATAACCCTTATGCTCGCATCCTCTTGGTGTGTAATTATGGGTGGAATTTCTTCTGATTTCTCTTCAAAGGTAACTCTTCTGACTTCTTTTTTAGGCCCCATTATTAACTTCTGGTTGGTGATGGCACTTTTCATATGTTGGACTGCCTCATCTAATGTTTTCGGATCTTTGTCTAAAGTGACCAGTGCCGCTCTTTTCTCAGTACAGCCCCTTAGGAAGGCATCAATAGTAATGGTGCTCTTAAAGTACTCTGGGGTGTCCGGGTAGCCTTCAGTTGTAAGCTCTTCAATTCTTTCAGCGAATTCCTCTAATGTTTCGTCTACGTTCTGTTTTATT